CTCTCCTTCCCTCCCTCCCCCATCTCTGTCACTGTGTGTGTGTGTCTGTCTGTCTGTCTCTCCTTCCCTCCCTCCCCCATCTCTGTCACTGTGTGTGTGTGTCTGTCTGTCTGTCTCTCCTTCCCTCCCTCCCCCATCTCTGTCACTGTGTGTGTGTGTGTCTGTCTGTCTGTCTCTCACTCACTCACTCAGTCACTTAATCACTCACTCTGTGTGTGTGTGTCTGTGTGTGTGTGTGCCTCTCTCTGTCTTTCTGTGTGTCTCTCTGTCTCTCCCCTCCCTCCCCATCTCTGTCACTCTGTGTGTCTGTCTGTCTGTCTCTCACTCACTCACGCACTTAATCACTCACTCTGTGTGTCTCTGTCTGTCTGTCTGTCTCTCCCTCCCCCATCTCTGTCACTCTGTGTCTGTGTGTGTCTGTCTGTCTCTCTCTCACACACACATACTGTGGTCACCTTTAATCACAGGTTAAAAGTACCTGGCAGCGGCGTTTTTCCCTGGGGGAAAGTCTCCAAGGCTGTAATTTACGGGGTGTGCACATGCCACACACTGATGTTTTTAACGGCGTGGAACCATGGCGAGGCTCTGCGCGGCTAGCGATGACTCCGGAGCCCATCCGGGAACACGAGGAACGTGAAGGGGACTGCTCCCCCCACAGATGGGCTCCGTACCCCACACATCTTTCACAGCCGTCTCATTTCCAATTGGGGGGGATCCATGCAGAGGATTTCTCCCCCCCCCATTGGAAACGAGGTGGCTGTGAAAGACAAGGCAGCGCTTTGTCAGAGTGAGAACACTTTCCCCCCATTACAAAGTCTCCGAGGCTGTAATTGTATGGGGTGTGCGTGCGCACCTATGTTTTCCAGAGCGTGGAGCCACGGCAACGCTCTGCGTGGCTGGCGATGACTCCAGAGTCCATCCACGGGGGGTTTCGAGGAATGTGAGGTGGAGTTTAAAGTTTAGAGTTCTGATTGTCTTAGCGACCCCTGTGAAAAGGTCATTCGACCCCCAAAGTGGTCACGGCCCACAGGTTGAGAACCGCTGTTCTATACCATGCAAGGCATATAGAAAAAAAGGAGAAGGCCCAGGAGTATGAGGCAGGCCCAGAAGAAGATGGAGAGACAACATCAAAGACATACTACTACTACAAGAAATATCAATTAACAATGGTTGAGGCTGCCAGAAGTGCAAGAACCAAAACCTGTATCTCCCCCAACACCGGAAGTGGTAAAAGAGGAAGAAAG